TGTGAGGTGCCAGGCATCACAGCACAGGCAGAAACCAAGGCTCAGAGGTTTGTCCATTTGCCAAGGCCCAGAGCCCAGGCTCCTCTCAGGGCAGTGGAGGGCCCCAGCCCAGCCCAGCTCTTCTGAGCAAGGGAATATTTTCTGCAGGGAGGGCTTTTCTTCTGAGGTGGTATTATGTGGCCTTCAGAGATGCCCACTGCTGCCATCTTTGACCTGCTCCACACACTTCAAAATCTCATCATTTCTGGGTTAATAGCACCAGCAAAGACAAAGGCCACATGTCTCAGCAGAGTCCTTCTTGGTAAGACCCAGTTCTAAAATGGGTCTAGAACTTGGGCAATGAACCAAGAGGCAGAACTTCCCTGGCTATTTATATTCATGATGGTCAGAGTAAGCAGCTCTCCAGGGCAGCTCTTAACTAGTGTGGAAATCCTGCTTCTACCAGAAGAAGATGTAACCAAAAGGCAATGTAAAACAAAGTGCAAGGAAGTTTTGGGATGATTAATGAAAAAGTCACGGGAGCAGTGTAACAGTGAACCTGAACCCAGAGGTTGAAGTGTCCTGGATAGTTAGTGTTTAATGAAACTCAGGCAAGTGTTGCCAGAGCTCCCCTGAGATGGGCAGGGGTACACTGTGATGAAATGAGACCCCACTCCCTCCCTGAGCCCTGAAGGAGAGGGGGAAGTGCAGCCTGGGTTGTCAGAGATGCTCCTGATTTCAAAGGTTCTGACCTACTTTGCCACACATATCAGTGTGGTTAGATCACATGCTCTGGCTCTTAGAAAATAACTCCATTGTGCTGTAGGACACTGTGTCCTAGGAACACACAAAAAAGCACCTTGGCCAAGAGTCTAGGAAAACAAAGATTATGTGAAGACATGGAGCGTCTCTCACAAAGCCCCAGGCGGCTGAAGGGACTCCTGGGGTCAAGTGATATAAGAGTCCTCAGCCTGGAGGGGTCAGTAGGTGAAAACAATAGAAGCAAGTGTTTGTCCAGCAGGCCTCGTGTGCCTGAGACCAAACCAGGGCTGACTCCCCCAGATCCCCGCTGGGACGGCAGGGGAAGTGGCTTGGAGCCACACAGCCGCCGGGCACGGGGCTGGACCTGGAGCTCAGGGCTGTGGATCATGTCGTCTAGAAATAGAGGGGAGCTAAGCTCCCGGGACAGAGAACTGGGACGAGAGAACAGAGAGCCCCAGCCCCAGCCCTGCAAACTGGATAGAAGAGGCCTGGGTGAGCCTGTGTGGCCAAGAGAAGGCCTGAGACTGGCACTAACATGACCCCAGGTAACCCAAGGTGGGAGGAAGATGACTGCGTTCCAAAGCTGGCCTTTTTTCTTCAGATACATTGTCTCTGTTAATGACATGCAATGAAATCCACCATCAACTACAGGTCCAGTGGTTTCTTCTTTAAGCTCAGCGAATGTTGACAAGTGTATATGTACTCATGCAAGTCAAGGCCCAGGACAGCTCTGTCACCCAAACCTTCCTCCAGCCCCTTTGCAGCCAGTCTTCTTTCCTGTGCATCCAGCCCTGCAGCCACTCCTGTTTTCTGTCCCTGTCTTGTGCCTTCTCTTCCACACAGTATTCAGTCTTGGGTGTCTGGTGTCTCTCATTCGGTGTGTTCCCTGAAATTTATCCAGGGTCTTGTATCTCTGTGCCTTGATTGGTTCACGCAGTCTCCAGGTGATGGGCCTCTGGATTGGTTCCAGTTATTGGCCGCTATGAACAGAAGAGCTGTAAACATTCACAGACAGGTTTTTATGTAGATGTATCAGCCCGTTTATCTTGAGTATTTAAAAAAAATTTTTTTTTAGTTGTAGGTGGACACAATACCTTTATTTTATTTATTTATATGTGGTGCTGAGGATCAAATCCAGTGCCTCACACATGCTAGGCGAGCGTCTTACTGCTGAGCTACAACCCCAGCCCAATCTTGGATATTTTCATTCCCCAAAGTGAGCTTGCAAATGTATGTTTAACTCTATAAAAATCTGTCAAACTATTTTCCAAAGTTGTTTCAAATGTCTGAGAGTTTCAGTTATACTACATCCTTGCCAACACTAGATGCTAGTATTTTTCAGTTTTAGCCATAGTAGTACGTATGTAATGGCAGCATTGTGATTTTTTTTTTTTTTGCTTTTCCTTAATGACTACTAGTTGTGTCTTTTCATGTGCTTACTTGAGATTCATTCATCTTTGGTAAAACATCTGTTCATGCCATCTTTTGTCTGTTATTACTTAGGTTATTTTCTTCTTCTTGAGTCATGGGAGTTCTTTTTGCATTCTGGATAGAAGTCCTTTACCAGATATAAGTTTTGCAGATATTTCCTTCTAGTCTGCATTTGCCTTTTTATTTACTTGTCTTCAGAAGTTTTAAAATTTCATGTTATCAAACTTACTGTTTTTAAAATGTTTTTTTGTGTTCTAGCAAAAGATTTCCTTTCTAAAAGTTTTAGCTGTTACGTTTGGATACATTCTAAGTTTAACAACATAGAGTGAAGATGAGGGGTTTTTTGCACATGGACATGCACCATTTGTTTAAAAGACTGTCCACACCCCATGAATTCCCTTGGCACCTCTACTGAAAGCAGTTGACCTTACAAGGGTGGATCCACTTGTGGACTCTCTTCCATTGATTTTTTTTAATTATTATTTTTTAAGTGCCACAATTTACATTCCACAGAATTTGCCATCCTCAAGTGTACAAGTGGGTGGTTTTAGTACATTCACATCCTACCCCCGAAAGAACATTGCCCTGATCTCGATGTCTATCTTTCGTCTAATTCCTTGCTGTCTGTATTGTAGCTTTGAGGTTTTCAAATACAAACTTTGTTCACCTTTTTCAATATTGTTTTGAGTGTTCTAGATCCTTTGACCTTTTATGAAATTTTAGATTCAGCTTATCAATCTACAAAAAAAAAAACCTTGAAATTTTCATTAAAATTAGGTTGAATTTATAGCCCAACTTAGGGAGAGTAAGCTAATTTTAACTACACCCATTCTCCATCAAAACACAGTATATCTCCATTCTACTTAGATATTGAATTTCAACAGTTTTTGAATTTCCAGTGCTTGAGTCTTGCACACATTTTGTTAAATTTGACCTTTAGTATCTCTATTTTTTTTTTTTTTGGTGCTATTTTAAATAGTACTAGAGTTTTTAAATTTTCAAGTTCCATTTTTTTCTCTACCAGTATATAAAAATACAGTTGATTGCATTTATTAATTAATCCATTTATTCATTTCTGTGGTACTGCAGATTGAACCCACGGCACTCTACCACAGAGCTACATTCCCAGCCCTTTTTATTTATCTATTTTTATTTTGGGATAGAGTCTAAGTTGCATTTATAGCCCAACTTAGGGAGAGTAAGCATTTTAACTACATCCATTCTCCATCAAAACACACTGGCCTTGAACTTGTGATCTTCCTGCCTTGGCCTCCTGAGTCTCTGGGATTGCAGGTGTGCACCACCATGCCTGGCTGATTTTTATATATTGACCAATATATTTTTATATATTGATTTTTATATATTGTATCTTAAATTCTCACTAAACTCTTTAGTTCTAATCACTTTTTTTGTGTGTTCCTTAGTATTTTCTATACAGAAAGTCATGTCAATGGGAAAAGTAAAAGGATAGTTAGATAGTTCCTGCTGAATGGAACTGGGTAGAGTGGACGTCTTCACCTTCCTCCAGTACCAGGGGCCCTGTTTGGTCACTCACCGTGAGGAAGGCTGCAGACTGTCAGTGATTCCTAGCTGCCTCTTACCAGGTTGAGAAAGTCATCTTCTATTCCCAGTTTACTGAGAATTTTTGTCCCGGATTTGTTGAATTTTGTCAAGTGCTTGTTCTGCATCTCTCAAGATCATCTTAAGCTTTTTCTATTTTTTTTAATTTTTTTTTTTTTTTGAGAGAGAGAATCTCTCTCTCTATTTTTTTTTTTTTTGTTGTTGTTGTTGTTGGTAGATGGACACAACACAATGCCTTTATTTTTATGTGGTGCTGAGAATTGAACCCGGGTCCCACCCGTGTTAGGTGAGCGCTCTACCGCTGAGCCACAATCCCAGCCTGGGTTTTTCTATTTCAATGTGCTCCTCTGGTGAGTCATTAATTTTTAAATATTAAACTACCTTACATTGCTAGGGTGAAACATTTCTTGGTAACGATGTATAACACTTTTTATATACTGCTAGATTAACTTTGCTAATTTTTTTAAATATTTTATTTTTTAGTTGTAGTTGGGCATAATAACTTTATTTTATTTATTGTTATGTGGTGTTGAGGATCAAACCCAGGGTCTTGCATTGTGCTAGGCGAGTGCTCTACCGCTGAGCCACATTCCCAGCCCCAACTTTGCTAATATTTGTAGAAGACTTCTGCATTTATGTTTATGATAGTAGCCTGTAGTTCTCATTCATTTGTACCAATGTATTTATTTGGTTTTGGAACCATAAGTGGAATTAAGTGCTTACTTCTTCAGCACTTACAGCAAGCCAGGTGTTGTGATGCACACCTGTAATCCAGCAGTTTTGGAACTGAGGCATGAGGGTGTAAGGATGGCCTTAACTTAAGAAGGGCCTTAGCCTAAGTAACTCCATTTTGAAATAAAACTGCACTCCTGACCAGGTACACCTATGGAGCCCTCCAATACGGTCATCAGGCACAGCCTGATAAAATAAGTCACTTTCCACAACCCTGATAAAACTCAAGTAAAGTTTCTATCATTTGCCTTCACCCCGATAAAGGCAAAAGTTCAGGGCAGAGACCACCAGACTAGATGACCTCAGAATGAAAGATGTCACTGAGAAACCTGTTAACAACTAATAGGGATTGAAAGGGTGGTCAGAAGCCCCAAAATTTAGCATAAATGATGGAGCAAATGAGCAGATATTCATCTAGCCGACACTGATGCACACAAGCCTGAGCCTGATGAGGATCTGGACTGACATCCCAACTGTTCTCATCCGTCTGTCCTCACCACTCTCAAACTCTACAGGAGCCTCTTGACTCTGGTGAGAAAAGGACTTCTCCTTATGACCATCTCCTCAGCCAGCCCTCAACTCAACTCCACCCCAGGAGAAGCCTCTGTCGGTTCCTGACCTGGTCGCTGCGGTCTGAGTGAGTGTGCATCTGCTGGACTTAAGACCTAAGACTTAAGACTTTAAATCTAGCATTTAAGCTTGGCGTGCAGAGGGAATGTCTGCAATAGGTCTGTCTTGATTGAGTATGTTTGCAGTGCTTAGAATTAATAAGAATTGTTTGCTTTGAATTGATTATGTCTGTTGCAATGCCCAGCATTAAGGATTATCATTCTTTGATTAAAAGAACCTATAGAGTGATATTGTATGATATGATTTGAGTAAATAAAACATTGAAAAGGGAAGAAGCACACGGATATTCTTTATCTCTCCCCTCGACTGTAGATGTCAAACTTTTGCCATTGTGACAGAGGGTCACAAGTTCAAGGTTAGCCTGGGCACCTAAGCAAGACCCTGTCTCAAATTTAAATAAATTAAAAGGATTAGGGTTATAGCTCAGTGGTAGAGTGCCCTGGGTTTAATCCATAGTATCTCTCTCTCTCTCTCTCACACACACACACACACACACATACACACACACACACACACACGGAATTATGAGTGTGGCTTCCTCTTCTAGTTTTTGGAAATTTGTGTGATACTGGTATTATTTCCTCCTAAGTTTTCTAAGCATGGGTAGGATTGACCTCTGAAGCCATCTGCCTCTATGCACAGGTTCTAAACCGCGTGAAGGCGTATGAATAGGTAGAGGGCTCTTCAGGTCGTCGCGTCTTCTGGAATAAGCTTTGGTCCTTTGTGTCTGCCTTTAGAAAACTTTTCTGTTTCATCTACATTGTAGAATTTCTTGGTGTGAAGTTATTCATTATATTCCTCAATTGTAATGTACATATAGGGATGTCCCTCCTTGGTGAGGGCGATGAGGTGGAATCCACAAACGAACCAGCGTCTACCTGGCTCTCTCTAGTCTTCAAGAAAGACCTGGGTTGGGCTGCATTCATACCTCGCTTTGTACATGGAGGAGAAGGGTCCCCTGCAGCCAGTTGAGTTGCGAGCTGGGGTCAGGGCTCTCGCAGAGCCCACAGAATCGGTGGGAGGGCACCACAGGAGCTTCCTGGTCAGACAGCCCCTCTTCTCCCCCTTGGGTACCGACAGCTGGAGAGGAGGTCTTGCCTCCTGTGAAGGGGGCCCACTTCCTGGAAAGTGACCTTTATTTCAAATGTGGGAATAGGAAGAAGGGAGAGAAATCCCTGAACTGGAAAATAGGGAGATCATTGTTATATTAAAACCATGCCAGGTTTGCGTGAATTTTGGAGGAGAAATGTTGAACTTCTAAGGAATCAGAGTACTCTCTCTATGTGTCCTGTCCCTTCTCTGCTCCCTCCTTTGCCACCTCAGTACCAGGTGCAGGCGGATGCAGAGCTGGGTTTCTGGGGAGGAGTAAAGAGCTGAGCATTTAAGGGCTTCAACTGGGCCTCTGGTTAACCCCCAGAAAGTACGTGGTTTGTGAGGCATGCCCTCTGGGTAGTCACTTTTCCTCTTTTGGGGGAATTACTGAGACAGAGGTGAAGTCTGTCAGTGCCAGCCAAGGGGTAGGAAGGGGCCAGCAGGTTCCTTGTGGGCTGTGTGGACTGATCCCAAGTGGGACAGAAGAGGTTTGCTTAGCTTTGACAGCTGAGAGGCAGAGGAGAGAGTCTCTTCTTCTTCCTGTTTACCTGTACAATTTTTGTTTGTTTGTTAATTGAAAAAGTAGTTTGGGGCTGGGAGTGGTGACATATGCCTATAATGCCAGCTACTCTGGAGGCTGAGGCAGGAGGATGGCAAGCTCAAGGCCACCTGGGCAACTTACCAAGATCCTGTCTCAAAATAAAAAAAGGGCTGGGGTGGGGCTGTGGCTGTGGCTCAGTGGTAGAGTGCTCACCTAGCATGTGCGGGGCCCTGGGTTCCATCCTCAACATCACACAGAGATAAACAGATAAAGGTATTGTGTCCCTCTACAACTAAAAAATATTTTTTAAAAAAAGGGCTGGGGTGTAGTGGTAGAGTGCCCCTGGGTTCAATCCCCAGTAACCGCACCTGCTCTCCATCCAAAAAAAAGAAAGAAAGAAGGTAGTTTGGGCAGGAAAATGAGAGAGCTCCTATAGACAAAAAAAAAAAAAAAAAAAAAAAAAGAGTTAAATGCCTCACATGCCTCCATGCCTGAGTTATGCAATCCAGAAATTCACTGAATAGACGGTTTTCTCTTAAAAAGAAAAAAAAAAGGAAAGAAAAACAAAGATCTTGTGCTGTTGTTTTTGAAAAAGATTTATTTGAACAAGTTCATAAACTGAGGGGAGCCGCCATCTGTCCCCATATAACCATGACACAGGAAAGGGGGTTTACCTTTTAACAAGGGATTTTGTGGTCCGGAGTAGACTCTACATTGGCTTTAAGTGCTTTTTCATAGTCCAGTATATACAAAAATGTTTTTTTTGTTAATATTTAGGTGGGTCCTGGAACCCACCCCAATACTAGAGAGGCCAGGGGGCTTTAAGCTTGAGGAACTGGTGTGCTGGCTCCAGCCTCCATCCCAACCCCTGTCCCCTGTCCCCCCTTTTGTCAGTGTTCCCACTTGATAGAGCTCAAGTGGGATCCAGCCAGCATGGTGGCCAGACCTGTAATCACAGCTACTCACAGCTACTTGGGAGGCTGAGGCAGGAGGATGCAAGTTCAAGCCTCAGCAATTTAACAAGACCTCCCTCAAAAGAAAATTTAAATAGGATGTGGTTCAGTGGTAGAGCACCCTGAGTCCAACCCCCAGTGCCACACACAAAAAGCTCTATATAGTTGTATATAGGTCTGATAGGGTCAGATTCAGTTTGCTGGGTGGGTCCAGTTTGCTCAGCCCCAGTATAGATCAGATTTGGACTCAGAGCTCAGGCTTCTGACAGCGAATAGTACCAGGGGCAACGTGAGGGCTCAGGAATGTGAGTAAATGAATCCACTTGATGCATAGTATGTAAAAGCTTGTTCAGTAATGTGCCCTTAATTTCTTCCCCGACTCCTTTCTTGTAAATCAGAGTTTTAATTGATTTAACTTGGGGTAATTATACAAGCACGGAAAGGATTTGAATGCTTTGGGGATAGCAATTAGTCCAAGAGCCCATCAGGCTTAATTTTGAGTTCTAGCTTCTATATTTTTAAAGGCTTGATTTTTTAGTGTTTAAAAATAGAGCTTTGTATGTGAGAGCAAGCAGGTTGCAGGGTGTGGGGGGCTCTCGTTTCCTTGGGGGTGTACTACCGTGGGCACTCACCTTTTCCAGGTTTGTGTTTCTCTTTATCTGCTGCCTCCTGCCTGATTCCTTGTAGGTAGTCAATGTCTTTCCAGAGCATTTAAAGCTGGCTTTAATGATATTTTTAGAGAAACATAAATCTGTCATTGCTACCAAAAGAATTGAATCTTGATTTCCAGGCCCATTGAAAATGGAGTTCGGATGACTCCTGACCGGCTGGTTGCTATTGGCAGAGGCCAGGTGACCACTGTGCAGCTCATTTGTTGGTTTCTAGCGGTCAGTTGGGTTTGCAGTTCCCTTTAGCTCCTGATTGCATGTACTAGGCAGTGAGTCAGGTTCTTATCCTTCTAGAATGTTTTGTTAGCAAATCACTTCAAGGAGAAGAGAATGACTTTGTGTAATATTTTATAATTGTCTTCTAGATTTTTTTAACCTGAATATGAGTTTGCTTTCCAAAACTCTCCATTTCTCACCTAAGAAACATATAAAATAAGGACTATGTTAATATGAGCATAAGAAGTCTCTGAAGAACCCCTTTAAATAGTACTTCAGTACACAGTCAGTCCTGTTCCAGGCCAGCCAGTCAAGGGACTCGAGGCTCAATAAACATACTTTGAGCAACTGCCAGCAAGTAAGTTGAAAGCTCCGGCAGGCCTGGAAAACAGACCAACCATGTGCTGTGTCTCTTAGTAGCCAAGTGTGGAAAATCACTGTTTGATCAACAGCCAGCAGGGCCGGGGCCCTGGATGGGCACAGAGGCTCTGACTGTGCGCCCCAGTGTCCAGGACCACAGACGTCCCATGCACCCCTCGTCCATACCTCTGGGCAACTGACCTTGACTCTGCCACTCTTCTGTGAACCCAGGTGGTAAACACAGAGCAGTCTGTCTTGTTTTGTTTATTGCATGTTAGGTTCCAGAAAGTGACTAAGCCTAAGAGGCCACCATCACTATTTGTAGAAGTACTTTGAAAATATTCAGATTCTGTGGAAACCCTAATCTAATATGCTGAGTGTCTGCTTTTGATCAGGGACTGGGGAGTGTGCTGGACTATTGACACTGGTAATAATGACCGAGCCCGAGCGGCCTGCAACCTGCCTGCCTTTCCTGAGCTCCTTTAGCTTTTATTTATAGGTCAGTTTCTTTGAGCTTTACTTTGCATTCAACCAAAGTCCCAGATTAGGCATACAGGAGGAGGTACTGACAGATGGCTGCCCCATGGAACCACCTGGAACAGGATCCATTGTCACCATCTCCCGGCCCTGCAACGTGCTGTGCCTCCCAGGGAGTGCCCACTGCCCACTGCCCGCTGAGATGGGTCTCGTGGGTCCTAGATCACACTTCACAGCTAGAGCTATCTGTGCCGTCCCCTCTGAGCACTGAGCCCTCTGTTTCAGGCCCAGCTCCCTGGGTCACATTAGGGGTCTGGGGCACTTTGTTCTCTCTGGGCCTGGCTTTTCTGGCAGGCTATGGATCTGAAGTGGTGGCAGAGCCCCTCCGAGTGAGATGCCCGTGGATTTGCACCGGTATCCTGTACGTAAGGGCTTTTGAGTGTCCCTAGGGACAAGACTATCTTGCTGTGTAGCCTGGAGCAGGACCTTGAGCAGGACCTAGAGAGTGCAGTGGATCTCTCAGCATAGAGCAGGTGGGGCCCGTGCTGTCACTCCAAGGTGGCTGCCCTGTTGCATTTAACTGCCAAGTTGCAGGTGGTACCAGAATTCCTAAGAGGCACCGTAGGGCATTGGCACCTTCTCTGGCATTGGAGCTGCTGGACCCAGACCTGTTTTCAGGCGTCTGTTAGCTGCCAAGTCCCCTGGGAGCAGCAGGGGCCAGCTGCATGACCGCCCGGGCTGTGCCTGGCCCTGGTGCCCAGCAGGTCATCTGTCCCTCTAGGTGGGAGCAGGGAAGGTCAAGTCTGCATTGGTGGTCAGTGTGCGTTCCGAAGATGGCACCACAATAATTTTTAATATGATGGGGCCTAAAAGAGTAATTTTATCATAACCAAGAGTAAAATCCCATGGAACGGTTGCCAAAGGCCGTGCTCCTAGGACCCCCTAAAGCACCATTTGTTTCCCTAGATTGTGAGGGTGGCGGGGGCCCAGCCTCTGGGTTGAAGGCGTGGTGTCCACCGGCCTGCAGTGAAGCCAGGGGGTGCTCTGCCAGCCTCATTCCGGGGCACCCAGAGGGGCCAGTGGGGCTCGGCTGCAGCAGGAAGCCCTTGACTTTCCGAGAGAGGCTGGCGAGCGGGAGATGAAAGCATCAAAGCGCCCACAGGATGCGCCGCAGCCCTGCCTGGCACGGCGCCAGGCCGCAGGGAAGGGTGACCTCAGACCCCTGGTGCTCGCAGGCCAGGCCCGAGTTTAAAGTTCACGGCATTTTGTTTTTTCACCTGCTTCCTACAGTTCTAAGAGACTTCTGAAGAATTAATGTGTAACTATATCAGACACTCGGCCTCCTCTCCTGGGAAGCAGTGTGACCACGGGGGAGGGGAAGAGATTGCACTGAGAGGCCACGGGGTTTCTGCGGAAAGTCCTCCCGGGAGAGGACGTGCCACCAGCAGTGCTGCCTGCTGCGTTTCCAGCACCCCGTCACCTGCATGCATGCTCCGGGCAGATGCCCAGCACACAGCTGCTGCTGGTCACCTGAGGACTAGGGCAGTGGTTGGCACTGTGTGTTCAGTTGGGGCGGGGTGGCCTGAGCTCCGCCCACTGTGCCCTGCATGAACTCTGCAGGATGCAGCTTGGACACAAGATGGCGAATAATAGGAGCTAAGGAGGCGCAAGTGAAAGGACAGGTGAGATCTGTGCTGGGCAGTTCCCTGGCCAGAGGCTGTGGTGAGAGCCCACGGCCCCCCAGCCTGCAGTGAGGGGCAGAGCTGCTGGCCACCCCAACCTGTCCCTCTACTGCTGACAGCGGGCACGGTGCCTTGTGAGTGATGGGTTTGTCCGTAGAGAAGAGCTGGAAGGGACAGTGCACGGATTTCCTCCTGCTTCCTTGTGTCTGAATTTGAACACAAACAGAAGGGACACTTTATTGAGGCACCTTTCTTAAAGGTCACTTTGTGAGAAGGCAGTGACTCTTTAAAATCCTTTGGCAAGTCAAGAATAAGGAAGTATCAGCCCTTTTCTCATGCAGCTCACCTGGTGTGATTTGGGGGTGGACGGGCATGTGAAATAGTGTCCTTTGTAAACTGTCTAATCAACTCCGAAGTCCTGCCTTTTACACTCTTGCCACCAGGTGGCTAGGAGGGAAGTGAAGCAGGCCGATCCACGATCACATGGAGACCCGATCCTCTCCATTTCTGCTTCAGTGATGAAATATGAAACGATAGACGGCCTGCGCTTCCCGAGGGACTGCCAAGCAAGTGACAGGCGTGTCCAGCGGTGCCGGCCAGAGGCATGTTGCCATGAGGGGTATTTTTGATTTTTGTTTTTTAAAAAATATTGACAATTTAAACCAGCCAGATTTTGCTGAACTCAAACTTTTTGAGGCTCCCTGAGCCCATTCCACCTCCAGACTGACCCCTGGATGGTCGCAGTGTTCCTGGCCAGCTGGTTTTGGGACAGAGGTTCAGCTTTGGGCTCCTCAGTCCCCAGGCAGAGCACACCTCAGCCCTGAGAGTTCACGAGGAGTTGTGCTGTCCCGCGTGAGACTGCCTTTGATTCTGTTTCAGGGGTAAGAGGTGTAATCCATGCCTGAGGGGTGGGGACACAGGCTTTCAGACTTCCTCACGGCCACATCTGTTAGAGTAAGGACAGCAGCATGTGCCACAAATTGTACTTTCTCCCAGTATTTGTTACAGTATCACAAAGAGAAAGGGATCCTATCCCATGACAGGACCTGCCCGCTCCTGGCCTCGGGGTGTACTTGGGGTGCTCCTCGGTACTCCAGTTTATTAGTCGTGACAAGCCACCTCTTGGCTATACACCATTTTGTCCACAATTTGCTTTTCTGATTCAAAGCGAACATGAGTGCCTTAATCCTCTAATGGGAATTAATTGCTTGTTTCAGTGCTTAACTCTGATCCTTTCTCCATCCCACAGGGACAGGTTGCTTCCTGAAGGATCTCTGTGTGTTCAAAACATAATCAAAAAAGGTAAGGATGTTTTTCTTAGGAGAGAAGCCAGAAATGCAGAATGATTTTTGTTGCAGGAGCCAGCCATGTTTTCAAACTAACGTTACATTATAAAGGACACACTTACCGATATATTTCCTAGAAAAGAAGGTTAACTTCTATTGCCTGGTTTCTTGTTGGGGAATAAGCTATCATTTGCTGCAGAAGAAGGTCACGTTCTGGGGCTCATCACGATCCTCCTGCGTGGTGTCCTCTTCTGAGCACTCTTGCTTCTTAGCAGTAAGACCATAGCCTATACCCAGATGGCTTGGTTTCCTCTCCCACTTCTAGGGTACTCATTTATATTTCTAGAGGCTTGATCAAGAATGCAGTGAGCAGGTCTTTTTGTAAGATCTTGCTAAAGAAGGCAGTTGGACTAAGGAGGTCAGGGAGGAGGGAATGGGCTGCATCTGGGGCTTGTGCCTGGCACACAGTAGGCAGTTGGTAGAGACTGGCTCACAGGGAAACACGACAGACTCTCCCCCAGACCTACGACTGCTGGGTGGTGGCGGTGGCTTTAGAGTTAGGGCTGCTGTTGTCACAGTGCACTGTGTCTTAAATGTCTACCCACAGAACACTGGGCCACCCCATCTGATGTGGCTCTGCGGGGCTGGGCCCACGCGGTGTCTGTCCTGTAGAACCCTGCTCCTTGAGTGTCACTGTTCAGGCTGCTTGGGGACCTCTACTTCACATTAAACCAGATCTGAACAGCAGCCCTGATCTTGCTCTGGAAAAGCCCACCAGTCACACCTAAGCTGCCCCTGTCTGTTCTGTATTAAACCAGGCTCTTGCATTTCACCCAAGACTCTCGCCATCACCAGGGTGGTGGGAAGCACCGGGGTGCCGGAGGCCCAGGGTGAAGATGCGGTACCTTCCCACGACCCTCAGGCAATGGCCCTTCCCAAGTGTGGCCCAAGGGCCCGCTTGGTCAGCGCAGGGTTCCCATGCTGTCCTGGGCCCAGGAACCCATGCACGCTCTGCGTCGTCCTGGCCACTGAAGTGCACTTCTCATGTGTCCCACTGGCTGCGGTCTTCACAGCAGCCTTGGAAATGGCTGCACGTGACAGCAAGGAAGGCACATTAAAGCCCCAGCTGGGAGACATAAAGGGACAGTAAAGGTTAGAGCAGAGATAACAAAACGGAGATCAGAGGAAAACAATGAAATACGAGTCGGTAGACAGAAAAGAAGGGCAAAGTCGACCAAATAACTAACACCAGAAACCTTACGGAAATAAAAAGGGCCACAGGAGGGGTGTGGACAGCGTCCTGCAACCAAAGGGCTGGCCAGGTGAGGCAGCCGGCAGAACCCCAGCAAGAAGAGGTCACCACCGACAGCTGCTGCGGAGAGTGAGAGAGAAGTGCTCACCCCACACTCCCCCAAAGGAAAAGCCCAGGGCCAGATGGCTTCTCTGGTGAGTTCTACCCAATACTTAAAGAACTAGCCCCGGTCTTCCTGAAATCAATCCAGATTCACTCCATGAAGCCAGCATGACCTTAGGACTACAGCTGGCAAGGACACTGAAGAGGTCTGCAGACCAACATCCCCCATGAGGACTGATGCCACATCCTTACGAGCACATAGCCCACAGAATTCACCATCCATTAGAAGTATCATGTTCATGGTTAAGTGGGATTTACCCCGGGAATAGGAGGGTGGGTCAACATACAAAAATCAATCACTTTGCCTGCTTAGTGGCCATACCTGTAATCTCAGCAACTCAGGAGGCTGAGGCAGGAGGATCACAATTTTGAGGTGAGCCTCAGCAACTTAGCAAGACCCTGTCTCAAAATTTTAAAAAGCTCAGAAGTAGAGCTTTCCTGGGTTCAATCCCAAGTGCTCCCTCTATCACATACACTTTAACCACCGTAATATACCACATTACAGAATGAAGGAAAAAAAACCTGGGTCGTCTCAGTTAATACAGAAAAAGCATCTGACAGGATTCAATGCTATTTCTTGGTAAAAACACTCCAACTAGGTGTGGAAGGAAAGGACTTCAACAGAGCAGAGTCATCTGTGGAAAGCCTCCAGCTTACCACTCTCACCCCGAAGATCAGGAACAAAGCCCTCACGCCTGCTCTCACCACCTCCACCCAACACGGTAGTAGGAGACTCGGCTGGAGCAATCAGGTGAGAAAAAGAAACAAAAGCCATCCAAATTGGAAAGAAGTGAACTTGACACCATCGTCTTGTCTATTGAAAAAACCTAAAAATTCTACCAAAAAAAAAAAAAAACCTATTAGAAAGAATAAGTGAATTCAGTAAAGTTTCAGGATATAAAATCAACACAAGTCAGCTGTACTCTTATATACTATAACAATGAACCATTGGACTAGCATCAAAAAGAATAAAATACTTAGAAATGAACTAAACCAATAAGCTTAACCAAGTGGGTAAAATATTTGTACACTGAAAACTATCAAACATTGAATGAAATTAAGACACAAAAGGAAAGACATCCCATATTTGTGATCTGCAAGATAATATTGTTAGAATGTTGGTACCACCTCAAGCAGTCAACCTACATAACACAATCCTTATCAAAACCACCATAAATAAGAAATAAGAAATTCCATCCTAAAATTCATATGGAATCTCAAGCCTCCCCCAAAAGAAAAACCACTATTAAAAAATGACAGTATTGGAAGTTGCATTCTTCCTGATTTCAGAATTTACTATAAAGCTGCAGTAATCAAAATGGTGACATAATAGTATAAAGATAGACATTACACCAATGAGACAGAGTAGAGGACCCATAGATTTATTCCTGTGTATACAGTAATGAGCTTCATCAAGGTGTCAAGACCATTCAATGGGGAAAGGACAGTTTATCAATAAATGGTGCTGGGAAAACTGGATATCCACATGCAAATGAGTGAAATTAGACCCTTATTTCATATTTAAAAATTAAAATAGATCAAAGAGCTCAAAATTTAGAGCTAAGTGTATAAAACTTAGAAAAACAATTTGGGAAAAGCTTCATGACTTGGATTTGGCAGTGACTTCTTGGGTATTACACAAAAATCATAGGCAACAAAATTAAATGTCTACCCACGGAACATTAAATTAAAAATGAATTGGACTGCATCAAAAATGTTTTCGTGTATTAAAGGTCACGGTCATCAGAATGAAAAAGCAACCCATGGAATTAGAGCAAATAAGTGCAAGCCATATATCTGGTAAGGGGTTGTTATCCAGAAAATAGAACTCCTAAGACACAACCACAAAAACCCAGCAACTCAATTAAGACATTGGGTAAAGGACTTGAGAAGACATTTTTCCAAAAAAGAGAGATGGCCAATGAGCTCAGGAAAAGATGCTCAAGGTCACTAAGCGATAGGAAAATGCAAATCAAAACCAACAACGAAACACCGCTCACACCATTAGGATGGCCACTATCTGAAAGCAGCTGCAGAGCAAGGGCCGGGAAGGCCGAGGAGAGACTGGAGCCCTCTGTGCCACTGACGGTCCTGCATGTAACAGGGTGGATCAGCTGGGAGACAGGGTGGCGGGCCCTTAAAAAAAATTGACCATGTGAATTCATGGTTCCACATCCAGAATAACTCAAAGCAAGATCTCCAAGAGGTATTTACACACCCGTGTTTGTAGCAGTGCTATTCACAATAGCCAAGAGTTAGAAGCAACCCGCGAGTCCCTCGGCAGATAAATGGATAAGTAGAATGTGGTATAGCCATATGGTGGAATATTACAGAGGATTAAAAAGGAGGAATTCTGACCCAGGCTGTAGGAGTGAACCTTGAGGACCTTATGCTAAGTGAAGTAAGCAGTCACTAAAAGACAAATGTGACATGATTTCATTTATGTAGGGAACTTAGGTTAATTAAGTCTGCTCTCCCCAAGCTCTGGCCTCCCCTTCCCACTCTGCATGCAGCTGGACGGCACTTCCCGGAGAGGCTTCCGGAGGCCTCAGGTGCGCCGTGCTCCTCACTGTCCCCACTCTGGGACTCGCAGCACCCCGGGGACCAGCTTGTCTCCACGTCTTGATGCACAGCCTTGTGGAGGCAGGAGGAGGCCAAATGTCCTGTGTGCTTGATCAGCCTCGTGGAGGCAGGAGGAGGCCGCTGTCCTATGTGCTGGGCACGTGCCAAACTTGCCCCTGCGCTGCACGGGCTTTCCTTCTCCTGTAGTTGTGGCCTTCTCTTCCCCTTCCTCTTGTCTCAGCAGCAGAGGTGCGTCCCCTCTCAGTCCCTGCTATCTGCCTGACATCTTTGGCCATCGCTAGCCCTCCCTCTGGTGCCCACAGTGGACCTCACTGGTTGCTCTTGGTGAGCCGGGAAGCCCGTCATCCCATACTCTACGTGCTCATCCATCCCACTGCTTCCTGTCTGTTGCACATCAAAGGTGAAGACACCGTCCGTGTCCCTGTGGAGGGGCTGGGCTGTGCAGTGGGAGGAATAAGAAGTGGAAGAGGGGCAAAGAGTGAAAAACAAAACCCACTAGTCTACATCATAACCTTTCATAATCCAGAGGGTCATGGAAAGACCCACACGTGTGAACTGTCTCCTACCCTGTGGTACTCTGTATCACCTCAGGGCCCTGCCAGCTGAAAGGCCATTTTTGCCAGATGCAGGCCCTCAAAACTCCAGAACAATGAGCTAAATGAACATCTTTTCTTTATAAAGTTACTCAGCCTCAGGCATTTCATTACAGTAACACAAAACAGACTCAGACACTACTCAAACAACCTATATGGCCAGAGAGGAAAGCATGCAACAAAATTTTGAAATAAAACAAAAGTAATGCGTTAAATCCCCCATACTACAAAAAGAGAAAGAAAAGAAAACAGAATTGAGTGGTAACTGACTTAGCCTGGAACCACCAGAACCTAATCTTAGGTTCCTGCATAATGAGAAGGCCTTGAGATGTCAGCTGACGGGTGTTTCGGAATCACAGGCCAGAGGTGTGTGAGGGCAGGGCTAGGAACAGGGAGGGCTGAGAGGCTGTGCAGGACAGAGACCCCAGGCTCCCCTCAGGCCCAGCCGAGGACAGCAGGCCACTCCTAGAGAGCTTGGCAGGAACACCTGGGTACTGGGAACACAGACCCATCTGAGGGCGGCTGTGAGTGACACTCCCCAAAGTGGGGATTTTACTGTCTGAGTCCCCCAGTCTGTCCTCAGAGCTGGCCCAGAGCTCGCTCCCTGTCTACTCCAGTCTCACTTCCACAGTATCTCAGCTGTCATTGTGAACGGCTGGCCAAGGACTGCGACAGCTGAAGAGACCTCGAGGAGACCAACAGACAGGAAAGAGGAAGTCAGAGGACAGCCACAGGGAGGAGGAGGACGTGGGCCTGGGAAAGAGCAAGAGGCTCAAACTGGAGGACAGGAAAAGACGCTGGAGAGAAACGGGGGGCGAGTAGCAGAAGTGGAAGGAGAAGTGGGAAACCCTGGAGCGGAGGAGGAGAGAGCAGAAGTCACTTCAGGACATGCCCCTGGACACGAGGAGACCCAGGAGGAACCGGAGGGAAGAGGCAGGGCCTTCCTCAGGACCAAGATCAAGAGTGTGCAGACTGGATTCCAGCACGAGGAACCAAAAGGGAGTCCCACGAGCCTCATTTCAGAATCCAGGGGCAACACGGAACCCCAGAAAGGAGATGCAGCTCCGCAGGCTGCGCACGACCCCAGAGCACGGCCTCGGCAGGAACAGGAGCTAGAGATGCCCCTCACTCCTGGGGGCTCTAGAATCCTTTGCCCGCCATATCATTAACCCCAGGTGGGAAAGAGAAGCCTCAGCAAAGCGAGGGAGTGGGCCCAGGGTCCCCCCAACACAGAGAGCCACAGGCTGCGAGGGTCAGCAGTGTCCCCAGGCCAGGCTGGGCAGAGGGCTCTGCAGGCACAGAGAAAGCAGCAGCGAGGAGAGCAAGAGCCAGCAGGTGCTAACGGTGCTTCCAGAAAAGTTGAGGCAGGGTCCCCACCATGGTGACAAGCCCAAAGCAGTCTTCATGAAGAAGAAACATTGCCCAGGAGAGGACATTTAACCACAGGGCGCTACAGGTCTCAGCTGAGAGCAGTGTCGCCACCGTTCCCGGGCTGAAATGATGAGCACTGGACCAGAAAGGTGCGGAGTCTCTTGGGAGGACTGGGGACAGGGTGGAGGGCACGTGTTGGCTGCCACGCCCCCCAAGGTGGCTGCCGAGTGCTTCCTTCTACAGTTAATGAAGAGTCAGCACAGACAGGTTAAGGGATCTACTCTACAGTGTGAGCCCCGTGTGAGGACCCGGATTTCAGCAGGTGATCCGTTCTGAAGTCAGCACTCTATACTGTGCTCATCTGCTTCAGAGTAGAAGGGAGACATAATTTTTTTTTAAGAGAGAGAGAGAGAATTTTTTGATATTTATTTCCTAGTTTTCGGCGGACACAACATCTTTGTTTGTATGTGGTGCTGAGGATGGAACCCGGGCCGCACGCATGCCAGGCGAGCGCGCTACCGCTTGAGCCACATCCCCAGTCCAGGGAGACATAATTTAAAGCATCAAGAAATAGTATTGGCTCGGGAAGCTGAGGCAGGAGGATCACACGTTCAAAGCCAGCCTTAGCAAAAGCGAGGTGCTAAGCATTTCAGTGAGACCCTGTTTCTAAATAAAATACAAAAATGGGGTGAGGATGTGGCTCAGTGGCTGAGTGCCCCTTAAATCCCCAGTCCAAAAAAAAAAAAAAAAAGAAGAAGAAGAAGGAAGAAAGAAAGAAAGGAAAGGAAGAAAGAGAAAGATCCACAGTATAAGGAGTAGCAGTCAGCAGTGTGGAAATACCCAACAGGACTCAGAGTGTTGCCTCTGGGGAGTGGATGGACAGGGAGTTGCACTTTCTTGCAAAGCTATTTACAGGCCCTCGATGCACCTTTTGGTTCTTTTTTGCTATGCTGGGATTGAACCCAGGCCTCCTGCACACCAGGCCAGTGCTGTGCCGCTGAGCCCCGCCTCAAGCCCTCCCAGGAAGTGTTCTGAGCTCCTGCACCGGGAGCCCCATCGCCAAGGCGTCTGTCCAAGAAGCCTGCAGAGGGCTGAGAGGCAGGCTTTGAAGAGGCCCAGCTCCTCCTCAACGTGTATCTCCAGGTTTGTCGGAGTCTCTCTGTCGTTAGGTAACAGTCTGGCCCAGACCCAGGTGAGCAGTCAGTGTTTGCCTTCCCCGGGGGCAGGGTGCCTGCTGGCAGTCACAGTGAGTCCATGAGGCACCATCGTCCTGGGACCTGGGGAAGGAAGTCCACCGGTGCCGTGGTTAGGCCTGTGGTCCTACCTGCAGGACCAAGCGCAGACGTGGTACCAAAACCTCCCTCTCTCTGGGGCTGGATTCGGGGGACTGTTTTACATATATGTTTGCTTATGATTATTCCTAATGTTTCTATAACAAATATTTATTGTGCCAATTTAAAAGTCCTTTTAAAAAGATTGAAAATTAGTGGCTTAAGAAACTGGAAGTTCTACAAGGCTTTGGCCGAAACCAGGCTGTTCCCCACTGGACGGACAAGTGTGTCTTGAAAGGGCTGCTTTCTCCAAGAGAGCAGCTGTAAAGGTGCCTGGCGTTTCCTGGGACCACAGTGCCCACCACATGGTAGTCAAGAGCAGGGTCACTGCTGGGGCCCTGTCAAGTGTCCTCTGGCCTTGAAGCTCTTCCACTGGGGGGGATGGGCCAGTGAGGTGTGGGTGTGAGGAGGTTTGTGGTATCAACAGGTCAGGCCTGTGGTCCTGAGAGAGGTTGGCCTCTTTCAGGTGATGCCTGGTAGGCTGCTGGCACTCAGTGGGCAGCTCAGGAAGTAGGTCCCCTGTTGCATGCTGACTCTGTGGCTCCCCCTGAGCTTGTTTGGCTGCCTGAGCCAGGAGACCTGGGTGGGCTGTGCAGGGTGGCTCTGGGGAGGGGTCAGTCTGCCAGGTGGCACAGAGGTGTCTAGCATGCCCCATCTTCCTGTTAGAGCAGACTGGCGTCTTGTGGCTTTGAGCTTAGCTCTGGGGGCCAACAGGTCCCAAAGTGAAAATCAGGGCTACCAAAATGTTCTCTCAAATGCATGAAAGATTGTTGAAATCACAGTTTGCCTCTTCTCCAGACCAAGGGTTGGCAGACTACAGGTCTGGCCTGGCACTACTTCAAAAGGCCCGCAAGCTAAGAATAGCTTGTACATTTTTAAATGGCTGAAAAAAAATCAAAATCTTTCATGACATGTGAAAATTGTAAGAATTTCCAATTCATGTCCATTAAGAAAGTTTGATTGGAGCCAGTGCAGTGGTGCAGACCTGTAATCCTGCTACGTGGGAGTCTGGGGCAGGAGAATCACAAGTTCAAGGCCAGCCTGGACAACTTAGGGAGAACCCCCATCTCAAATATTTAAAAAGAAATTAAAAGAGCTAAGGATGTAGCTCAGTGGCAGACTGCGTGCCTAGTGTACAAAGGCCCTGGGACCACTCCCCACTGAGGGAGAGAAGGAATGGAGGCGGGGCGGGGGGTAGTAAGTTTGGGAGCTGTCACAATCCTCAGTGTGTCTATGGTCAGCACTGTGGAGTGGCCCTGAGGGAATGCCAGCCAACAATGCCTGCTGGACATTCTCTCTGGCGCTTTCCACACAGTTTGCACCCCACACACGGGGGTGGCAGTTCTTCCCACTTCATGACGTGCCTGTACCCTCTCTCCTGCAGCCCCTGCAGACAGATGGCCCTTGTCTTCGTGTACGGCACCCTGAAGCAAGGCCAGCCCAACCACAAAGTCTTGCTGGACTGTGCCAATGGCTTTGCAGCCTTCCAGGGTCGAGGACGCACGGCCAAGCCTTACCCCCTGGTGATTGCTGGTGAACACAGCATCCCCTGGTTGCTCCACCTCCCGGGCAGGGGCCACTCTGTGCTGGGCGAGATCTACAGGGTGGACGAGCACATGCTGTGCTTCCTTGATGACTTTGAAGGCTGCCCTGACATGTACCAGCGCACCAAGGTGCAGGTGGAGGTGCTTACGTGGGAGGGCGAGGGCTTCCCGGGGGACAGCGTGCAGTGCTTTTTGTACAGCACGGCCACCTACCCGCCCGAGTGGGTCCACCTCCCCTACCACGAGAGCTATGACTCGGAGGGACCCCATGGGCTGCGCTACAACCCACGAGAAAACAGGTGAGAAGGGCCGGTGGGGCCACGGTGAGGAGAGGGCACTCTGCTGGGAGACCTCAGATCAGTCTGTACCTGAATGCTACAGCAGACTGGTGCCCTTTTCAACAGACATTTGCAAAACTCAATTGGGAAAAAAGAAGCCAATCTATCTTTTAGTGGAATCGATTTTGCAAATAATTATGACATCCCAACAGCAAGATCATACCCCTGAATCTTTCCACCCAGTACCACCTCATTGCTTGCTGCTTTAAGGGCCTCATGGGCTTCTGAATGTACTAGAGGAGGAAGCCTCTGGATCTGAATTCTCCTGAGTGCACCTGGAGAACTCATATGCTCTCCTGCTTCCCTCCACTCTGCTCTCTTCTGACGATGATGTCCTCAGTGACTGGAAAGATGGCTGCCGTCAGGTTGGCAGCTAGCTGAATTGATTCTAGCCTGTAGCACCAATAAAGGAAATCTGAGTAAATACTTATTTTGGGTGGTTGAATATAATAATAATAAAATAAAGAAAAGCATGCTGTACTGGAAATATAGCCTCATTCTTCATAATTATGAGAACACACACAGACTACTGAAGATAGCGCTTAAAATTCAACAAGATGTTTTGGGAATTAAAATATAAAGGTGTTGGTGTTTGTTTGACTCTTTTTAAATAGATTTATTTGAATCTAGCAAAATAATGAACACCCACTTGCCGGCATATGCAGGTGAGCACCCAGGTTTCACATGGAGGTTCATCTGCACCCAGACCCCCGCAGCCAGCCCGCCACACCTCCTGAAGGCACAGGACTTGGGGGTGGGCCTTTCGAGAAGAACCAACACATTAGCAATTTGTTCTTCAGGCCTGACAGAAGGCTTAGCTTCCAAATACAAACAGCACTTAAAATAATGTTAGCAAGGCACCAAGTACCAATTACTGCCCCCTCCATCTGACGGTCTGTCAGCGGGCTTCACGTCGGCGAGCGGCTCTGCTCTCTTCTGCTCACCAGCAAAGTCTGCGGTGGATTCCAAGAACTCAGAACAAATGGAAATGCAGCTGCTGCTCCTCAGTGGCCTCGTTCTGGCTGGGGAGCTCACTCACCCTTCAACTTAATGGTAGACTGGGTCGCTAACTACATCTGGCACAAAAACATGATCATTATTTTTAGCCTCTTTTTTCTTAACTGGAAACTGGCTTCACAAAACACAAAAGGCAAGGCTGAGTGTCAGCTGAGGAGCTCGGGTGAGACGGCCCGAGGGCCCAGTGGGGACGGGACCTGGACAGTGGGCCTGTCCTCAGGACAATGCAGGCCGTGGCCCAGCTCAGCCAGGGGGCCCCAAAGTCACCTCCTAGGACTCGGCCATCCAGCATGGCGCCTGCATAGAATCACAGCAGGAAGGGGTTTTGAGAAGTCATCCTGGCCACCTCGTGCTTAGGAAGTCAGATAATCAGCCCCAGGAGTTAGTCTTCAATTACGGAAGAAGGAAGGTGATCAGATTGTAAGATGGCAAATGCTGATTTACTAGAACTGGAGGCAGAGAACTGGAATCCACATTTCTAAAAGGGATCACAATGAATGCTAGTGTTACGTCAACTGGCACAGCCTGTCGCTTATGTGTACATTGTCTTCATTCGAAAAAAAGGGCAAACTAATATTTAGACAAATGCTTCGTTTTATTGATTTAATTTTGACACTAGGAAATCTCACAGAAGTACAAATCATATGTATAATTGTTTATATCAATACAAATTTCCATTGGTGATTTTTTTGGCAGAATGTTGGTTTTGACTCTTCTGTGGAATAAATACGAGATGTAGATCCGGCTGCACAGAAGTGTTCCCGTGAAACACTTGACTAAATCGAGTGTGAGAGAATAATACAAATGGCTAATTAAGTCGGGTGATGCCTGAAAGGCTATAAATACTTCATTCCAGCTCCACGAGCAGATCCCCTTCTCCGACTGTGTCTCCAGCTTTACAGTGCACCAACTTCACCTGGAATTCAAAAAATGGGGGGAGAAGAGTCATAAGCTCCAGTCCGAAGGCAGCAACCCCCTACTCCTTCTCTGGAGGGAACTGACTTTTGGGCCAGGGAGCTCTGGCCTGGGGGCATCCTGAAGATCCTTAGGATGTCCCTCACCTCTCCCTCTGGGCTGACAAGGACAGAAGAGGTGCAAAGAACGTCTATATATGTACACACACACACACACACACACACATACACACACAGTCCAAATAGATGCTGATGCAAAGGAGAAGCTCCCCAGCCAATCTCAGCCCCCCATGTGACGAGAAATGCGACCTTCAGGAGCCTCGAGGCCTGCCCTTGGTGGCATGATGGAACGTGAGACTATGCCCTCTCATTCTGCCCGTTTCTCCTCAGTGTCGTCAAGTTGTGCTCGCCAAATCTGTGTTCAGACTTAAAATGAGCAGGGAGGGGCCAGAGTGTGTGGAGACGGTCCCGTGCCTCCCTGGAGGCAGCCACTTGGGTGTGAAAGTGCACGTGGGTTTGTGCTGACTGGCAGCACCGGCCGTAGGCAGACACCCAGAATGCCAGTGACGTCTGGGGCGGTGCGCTGGCCGGTATCCCCGCCATTCGTGGTGAGAGTCCAGCCAGGCTGTTTTATCTCAAACTAGAGCTGAGTTTTTAAGAAGGATGTGAACCCATGCAGGAATATTCCAAAGCCCTCTCAGCAGATGCCATTTGGACTGAAGTGCCTAAATGACAATCCTGATGTCTCCTCTGATTATGTGTCGTGATGTTTTACAGTCACTAGAGACCCTGTCCACTGTGCACCTTTTCTCTAGGAGGAAATATGGCTCTCTCGGCCCAGGGGAGGGGGCTGGTACGTGGAATGAGCAGAGGGACTCCAGCTTGCAGGGGATGGGCCAAAGCACAGAATTCGCTCACACCCAGCAGCCCCTGAGAAGCAGCTCTGGGCTGCTGAGGGCAAAGGGTTCTGCCTCCCTTGAGACTGCTCCATGAGGAAATACAAAGACACACAATGGGGCTTCACACTGCTGCAGGAAGCGAGGCCACGCTCAGCCCAGCCACACGGGGACCCTCAGCCTGCAGCTGACACTCTTCTTGATCCCCCACAAATCATCACAGATGAAATGTTAAATAATCCCAAAGAATAGTTTTTATGTGAACAGAAACCTACATTTTCTTGTCCACTTTTTTAAATGTCATCAAAATTTTGAAAGGATTCCTGAAACACCACAAATCATGCCCTCCTACTCTGCCAAACCTCCCTGACAAGGTGGGGCCACCTGTACCTGCTCCAGCCTGGCAGCCAGCTCAGGGCTGGCCAGTGTGCATGGGGACCTCTGCTCTACCTGCTGGGAGCTACAGGGATCCCCTTGTCCTTCTCTGAGAATCAGTCCCTTTGACTTCTGGAGTGACAGACAGAGGCTGTGTATCTCTCTGATGTAAACCTGGTCGTGAACTGATGGATCTCTCTTTACACCCAAAGTCCCCACGGTGTGGCCACAGTGCAGGCCACAGCCAGCCTTTGCTGCTGTTCTCACACCGATCATGCTCCGCTGTGCAGACACTACCAAACCAGACACCCTTCAGAAAAGGGTCATTTTCCACTAATGGCATCCCCTGAGTCCTGGGAAGAAAGTGAAACGATTGCTTCACAGGCTTTTTGTTTTTCTCAAAGAAAAAATACACTCAAAAAGTTTCACTCTTAACAAATTTCAGTACTGTCACACCTCCTTTTCTCCCTGAATCATTAAGGTCCACGTGTGTGCAAGGGCAGCGGATCCTCATGATCTACAACTGAATTGTTCTCTTCATGGAAAAATTATCTTGAAGAGTTACATTAATTTTTGCAATCTGTAAAACCATTTCCTGCTGTGTCACCTAAGTCTCAGATAACTAACTGCCTCCAAGACAGATGTAAACATTAAAAATTAAAGACCCCTTAATTTGAAAGACATTAAGGTGAAGAACAATTGTTCTTTAACTATGTGAACACAACACAGACTTCCAGACTTTCTGGAACCCACTCTGTGAGACGGGGATGCATCAATGCAGAGCAAAGAGCTCCTGGATCTTAACATCTTCCCCAGGGAAGAGAAAGATCACCTCTGCAGTCCCTAGCGGGGCAAACCATCCATGACGCAAAGGTGGAAGTTCTCCTTTGGTCATAAGGCTGGTGTGGACTGGTGGGAACATACCTTGCCAGTCTTCCCGGCCGCCATACTGTTCTGCATTTTCATGGCTTCAATCACACAAATTTCCTGCCCTTCTGATACCTAGAAAATGAAAGAAGAGTAAGCTGAAGTTTTAAAAGCACTCTAACTTTGCAGTAACATCCAAGAATGAAATCACTAAGGAATTCTTGGTCAAACGTACTGAAATATATGAATGACCTCTAACATTCCCATTCCAAGTTCATCTTTAGGGGACGGTAGTGAAAGGCCATTCCTTCTATCAACAAGTCCTCATTAGAAAAAAATGGAGTATTGCTTGTGGGGGCTCCCCTGGGGACCTTGAAATTTAGCTGCAAAATTGGAATATTTTCTACTTTCCTAAAATGTCCAGAATAGGCAAATTTCCCAAAACTGAAAGACTGAAGGTTTTTCTGGGGCTGGAGGACACCAAAGTAAGTGCTGTCAGGTGCAGGGTTTCGAAACTGGATAATATTGTTCTAACATTGATTATGGTGACAGTGACAGCTGCTCCTTTACCGGGTCATACCATGTGTGAGTTTAGCTCGTGCAACCATTACCAAAATGGGCACATCTCTGCTGATGGTGCTGGGGAGCATCAGGCCACGAGGATGGCACCTTCCCCTGCAGACACCCCTCCTGACGAAGGCACTTCCCCCACCTGGACAAAGCCTGCAGCTGGGTTCACAGGCCCCTGCTCAGGCTTCCTGGGTTCCGACGTCTGCCTTATCATGAGGAAAATCCTGGCTGAGCCCGGTTTAAACCCAGTGGGGTGAAGCCAGGGGCTTCAACCCAGGAATTGCAGACTAAAAACCACTCTGTTTATTCACTTTTCTCTGGTCTTGACAGGCAAGCCCCCACGAGCTAGGCCAGATTTTTCTTAGCTTTATGGAAAGGGGCTCTGGGTCTTTGAAATGGCAGGACCAGGGCTCTGCGGGGTGCTGGTGGGCACTGGGGCTGTGCTTGGCCAGTGCTGCACAAGTGCCTAGAGAATGTTCTTTCCTGCAATCCCCAAGTGATCTCCAAGTCCCCTCCCGGCCCCCTGTGGGGCGCAAGCTGTCTCACTGGCAGTGCCGGGAGCCTGAGCTCTGGGTATTCTTTCCTCTGCTGTTCAGGTGGTGGGCTGTTTTTTCCTGGCACAGAAATATAGGAAGAGAGGGGATGCCAAAGCTCCGGAGCTGGCAAGGAGGAGACGCCATGCTGCCGAGCGCACAGTGCTCGCTGTCACTGCAGATTCACCTCACCTGGCATCTGCATTCCATACCCGGGGCAGAACAATGCTCAGGGGGACAGGGAGGGCAGTACCTCGGCAATGCACATGCCCCTGGGACAGTCACCCCGCCCCCACCCCCCCAACACCATTTAGTCCTTTTTCTCTCTTCAGAGGAAGGCAGACACCAAGAAAGAGAGAAGGGCAGGTCCATGAAGTAGCCCAGCCCACGGCCTCCCAGACAGAGCCAGCAACAGGACTCTACTACCCTGACCCAAAGACTGGGCACCCAGGTCACAGGGGTAGGTGGCTTCCTTGGAAGTGGGTCCGAGTTGCAACAGAACACCATGGAAATTCTGTCCAAAAATTATGATTCAATCTCCACCTCTGGGCTCCGGTCACTACTCCCTTTGCAGATGGACAAGTCCCTGCCACGGGTACTTGTGTGCTGGCCTCCCACAAGCCCACCCACTCTGTCTTCCTCCATGGATATTAGAGCCCAGAGCTGGCTTGGAGCCCTGTCCACCCCTGCCCCTCAGCTTGGGTGGGTGGGCACAGCCTCAGTCCTCTGCCAGCAGCTGTACCCCTGCTACTACCCGTCCCCACTCATCCCATTGCTTGGGTCTGCTAGGCAGTCAGGGAGCCCCTGCTGCTTCCCTAAACAGATCTGCAAATAAGAGTAAGAAATGAAGCCTGCACGGGAGACAGTGGTCATGCCAAGGGGCAAAGGCCAGCCTGACAATAATTCCCATAGCAAACATGCTCAAGGCCAGTTAGGCCAAGCCACAACTGCCCTCCAGGCCCTGCTACAGCCTGGGCACAGGGGGTGGACAACGAGTTATGGAGCTCTGCCATTACTTCTCATTGGCCATTGGCCCTGGCTAGCTGGGGTGCTTATAACATGGACCATTTGCGAAGAGGTGACTGCAAGGGCTAGGTCCCAAATCATTAAGCAGAAGTCCAAAGACTCTGATGTAGCCAGAGACAATCAGAAGTGGGAAATCCCAAAATTACAAGTCCCTCTGACTGTGAAACTCTGGTGATTAAAAGAAGTCAAAAGGCTCTAGGGGTACTGCTCAGTGTACAGTGCTCACCTAGCATGCTCGGGGCCTTGGGTCGGACCCCCAGTGCTGCATGGAAAAAAAAAAAAGGAGACATACACACACACACACCAGAGAAAGTACGTCCTGATACAAAGGAATCCTGTCTTCTGCCCGACCAGCGCAGCACTGAAGTACACAGTGTGACCAGGGCTCTCCATGGCCTTTCCTGCCTGTTTCCCCAGGTCCTCTCCCTGTGTCTGTGGCCATACTTACCTCATGATTTACCTTCAAATGAAAACCCGAGTCACCGCATCTCCCCTCGGCTTTATCTGTTTTATAAAGTGTTTGCTCTCACCCATGCCTAAGAGGCAGCTCTTAGAAATCAGTCCCTGATACCCCCCGCAGCGTTGTCCCAGAGCATCATTCCACACATGCACACACACGTTCACAAACACACATGTCCACACATGGGCTTCATCTAATTTCAACATATTTCATCCCCCAAAAATCCAGTCGGGGAAACACAGTGCAGACTGCACATCGGAGAATGCAGTGGAAACAAACCACGGCGGCCAGCCTCTGGGCAGCGGCTGTCCCTGGGCGGTGTGCTCAGGGTCTGGGTGGACTGGAGCCAGGCCCAGGCCCCCCTAAGCAGCATCTCTGGGCTCTGGTGAGACCCTGCTCTCATCTGGGGCCCTGGGGCTCGTGGCCCACACTGTCCCACAAGAGCACACCACACATCCCAGCGCACGGGGCTGGGCAGGGGCCTGCCCTGAGGGCCTGGGGAGCTGGGCATTGGCTGGGCTCACCGGGGCCTGCAGGCTCGGGCAGGCAGTGTGCATGGCAGGCCCGGCTCCTGCAGCATGTGCGCACGCTTCTCCAACACTTTTGTGAATCATCTGATAAAGACTTAATGATTGTGACAGGATGTCTCCAGTGTTGGGCTTACTAAATGGTCACAAGCCTGGAAAGTCTTTCTGATGAGCCCAGCCCGCCTGATGTATTTCTCCGCTCCCTGTCTAATTGGTGCAAAGTTTGGAGGCCCGAATCCTATATCTTTCATCCGGCTTATTGCGTCCTCTCCCCTCCCCTGACACGGGGTCAAGGTTCACATTCGCATCCGATTATCAGAGCGGCACTCATTAAGCGGGAGCCAGCCTTGCCCCCAATGAGTAGGCTGGAGAGAGAACTCGGCCCATTTACTCAGCAGATTTTCGCATGTTTAGGGGCCTGCACGTCACCCAGCATCGCTCTGTGCTGAAGAGTTTCAGACATCTCCAGCTGATGATTAATTGTGAGTGATGGGAAATAAAATCCAGTAAAGCCAGCTGCTTGCCATGGTCGGCAAAATGACTCTAATGGATAGAGGCTGCCAATTTTCCAGTTTTACTGGCAAGTCTTCCAAGTGTAATTAAGGGAAGTTATAAATGATATGGAAATCTATCAAGTTCCATTTATTTTCAGAGGACTCTTTCCCCAGAGACTTTTATCTTGAAGCTTATAGTATGCTTTGTTGTGCTAATGATTTAAGCCACATCTTGTTTCTGATTAAAGCCCCCAATCTCCTTCTACCAAGTCCTCTTCACTCCTTCCACAAAGATTAAAAGACAGAACCTCCCCGCGCACGTGGCCTCTCTCGGAAAACACGCAGGGACTGGGACACATTTGGCAACGTGTATCCTTCAGACCGCGAACTGCCATCGCCCCTCAGGAAGCTCAAAGGAGGTGCAGGAGAGGAAAGAGAGGGGGGGATCTCCACCAAACATAAAAGGAGGACCCCAAAAGCAGAGGCTTGAAAGCTGCACTTGCGACCAGATATTGATCAGAAGCGGGTGTCGCCCACTAATGTTATTTGATTTGGAATAAAAGCATGAAAATGATGGCAGAGGCCTCAAATTGGAGACGTGAAGGATGACTGCACAGTATTCCATTTCTCAATTTCATCCTTCAGAGCCACAAAATGGGGGTGATACAGTGACTGGATGAGATTTACAGTAACAGCTGTGGCTTCCCACACAAGGGAGGCCCTTCTAATGGGCTGAGGTCTGCTTGCAACAGACGGGGAGGAACAAAACAAGGTTCCCTATTAAGAGTGTGCAGCCATATCTCTGATAAAGAAAATCATTATGGGAGTCAGGTTTCCTTTAAGATGGCCCCTACCCCCTTTTGTCAATCAAACCCAGGGCTGCTTTAAGGTGCTGTCATTTCAATATAGGAGAGACGACGCCAATGGCGTCGAGTTTGTTCCCCCTTGGAAGCCCACTCTCTAGCAACTGTAAAGAATGCAGAGGAAACCGTGCCAGTGGCATATGGCCTTCTACTGTGCTCAACATTCACACAAAAGACAGGTTCATCAGTCATTGGAGTATCTGGATAAAAAATTAGCTCCTGATGGATGGTATTTTGAGCTTACCTGCTGCTACTACATTACCCGAGAAACACAGGTTTTGAAACCCACATGACATTAGAAACTGCAGACCATGAAACACGACACGTGCGTGAGCACATAATGTACGCCAGATTATACAAAATAATAAATAAGCTATTTAAACCCTCTGCCTAAAATTGGGCCCGCTGCAAGGAACCCTGGGTCACTTCTACGCAGGCCAATTAATGCACAGCATCTGCTGTATAGAAGCGGGGCATGAAGCACTTCCGAATGATTTCGGCAATTAAAAGAAAACTGTTTCCTGCCTCTTCAGACAGCAACTGTTTCCCTGCAAGACTGAGCACCAAATCGCCGTGTGCAGCTGAAAAAATCAGTCCCCTTTTGGAGGGAGAAAGGAGGGGGAGGAGGCATTTTTATGGGAGAAGGAGCCTTCTTTTGTTGT